ATTTACCCACAGTCAGTGCTACTCTGCCAAAAGGATGGACCTGGGTCATCTGGAGGAAAATGGATTCACCTCGAGGCCATAATGTTAAGGGAAATAAATCAGTTACATAAGATAAATGTTGCAAAACTGAAAATATAAATAAAGAGCAAAATAAAAGATAAGAGAGGGGCTGGGGATTTAGCTCAGCGGCATAAGCACCTGCCTTGCAAGCAGGCAGTCGTGAGTTCGATCCCCGGTACTGATAAAAAAGAAAAAGACAAAAAAAAAAAAAGATAAGAGAAAGTAGAGAGAAATCTTTTGCAAATGGGAAGGAGACCATGAGATGAGGGAGGAGAGAGAAAAAAAAAGAATTAAGGCTTATTTTGTACATGTACCAACAACCATCATGTATTGCAAGCATCATAAATGAGAAGAAACTAAAACAACAGACAATAAAATTAGGTACTCTACATAACTAGGAGTCCGTATTTTAACAACTAGGATTATATAATCAAAGGAAATTTTAAAAAATGAAAAGCTAGGCTTAAAAGTTTAGAAAGGATCTAGAGCGGTGAAGAACCGTCCAGACTTTCGATGATACAAAGCCTCCCATGGCACATGTGCATAGGTTGGCCCCAGTGGTCTAGAGAGAGCCTAGGAAAGGACACACTAATACCCTGAAAAAAGAACCAGTGGAAACTCTAGAACAGTAAAGTACAATAACCAAATCAAGAACTCAGCAGATGATTTTGGGGGTGGCGGGTACTGGGGACAGACGGCATGTCACCACTGAGCTGCCAGCCGGTGGCACGGTGAGGCAGGGTGTAAAGGGAAGCGGATCCACCTGGACATTCACAGTCTCTGACTTCTGGACTTGGCGGGTTGGGGGCCCGCAAGTCTGGTGCTTGTTCTGAGCGCTAACCGTGAGCTCTGGGAACCTGCCTGATTTTGCTGGCCAGGTGTGAAGGGTCACTAACTGAATGTAGGTGGGTAACTCAAGTCCAGTTTCTTCCAAATGCCAAATCCTTTTTCTTTCTCAAATTTTAAAGGAAAAAATTAATTTTTCTCTGTAAATGTCCTTGAAAAATTCTGCATGAGTGGATTAAGAAAACTTAACAGGAAAAAAAAAGAGAAATGTCCATGTTGAACTTGATGATGGGATCTCACGAGGAGACGTGAATGCGCACTGTAAAAATGATCCCCACTTTAAAAAAGAGTGTTTTGCTGTTTAAAAGTAACACAGGTTTACCCGGAGGGAGGTCACAAATGTAACAAAGAAACAAAATTGCTGTTTCATTTTAGCTCCCAGAGATAACCACTATTCACATTTTGGTTCTGTATCTTTCTAGATTTTTTTCCCTTACATAATACAAGGATACACAGCAAAGTCTTGAGTCAAGAGTGCCTGTGGTTATTTTTTGGCCCCTTCTTTCTCTCCCTCTCTTCCTCCCTTCTTTCCTTCCTTCCTGAGACAAATCAGTTTTAAAAAGTATAAGCCTGCTTCCCAGGTTGCATTACATTTCACTTATACCTTTACTCATTAATTTATTTCACAACTATCACACATTTCCTAGGTGCCGCATACCGCGTTAGGGACCGACATTGTGTTGGGCTTTTCTCTCAGGACGGTGGTGATGATTTTCCAAAGACAGGAAGATCTGGCCCAAGCCGAAAGCTGATTTGTCACCTCCCCATGACTTCATGGAGAAGCCGAGGTGTCCAGGACAGATGTGGGAGATCGGAGGCCGGAGTGGGGACCAGGTTCTGTTACCTTCTGGGTAGGGGCCAGAGTCAGACTTCGATGCTCACTCATTGAGGCTGTCAGGCCTCATGACCTGAGGCTAAGTTTCTTAATAGTTTATAAGAAAATCCCTATTATTTCCTTCGGGTTGTATGACAAGTATACTCTGCATATAGCATTTTATCAACTTCTGAAATAAATTTTATAAACTAGTAACTGACATTTATTGAGCACTTAATTATGTGACAGCCACTTAAATCATTGTTATGATTTTATATGCAGTCGAGACCTGGAATCCGAAGGCTAACCCTGCAAGTCCCATTCTGATCTCCTTTGTAGATGAGGAAACTCAGGCTCACATGACCTAAAATGACAGAGCCAGCGATTTCAAAGCCTCTACTGCATTTTCACCCATGATTATGCAACTTGATGAATGAAAAACAGCATTTCAGATGAAAAAGAATCCTCATCTCATCAAATTCAATTCTGCAAATTTTTTTGAGTGTTACTTCTGGGATACTTTCACATCGGAGTCATATAAGAAAATATTTACCAAAAACTCCAATTTAAATTAATCCTGTTGGAGCTCACTTCTTTTGAGAAAGGCTTCCTTCATTAATTAGTACATTTCATGTTTCTTACGTTTTCACATTTGCTCTCTCTTTGTGGTCTTCCTTGGCAACCGTCATCTTTCCTCATTAAAAAGATGACTGTTTAATATGGTAAACCAGGAGGTGATACAGAATTTACCGAGTAAGCCGCTGCAGCGGCAGTTTAAGTGCATTCACGCTGTTTGCTTCTCACCGTCCCCAGGACTGTTGTATCAGCCCAGACTGCACACATCAAGCAGCACCTCCACCTCTTCCCAGTGACCGCTGTCTTTAGAGGAGACAGACAACTGTTTCCAGCTCTGGTTTCTTCATGTGAACGAGCACATAATTGATTTAGTGATATGAGAGAGGGGAATATTTGCTGATATGATAGCACACGCAAAGCCCACTGACAAAGGTGTGTAATTTGTAAAATAGCTGAGTGGGCAAAATTCTGATTTTCAGTTACCCGAGGCACTTCAGCGCACTTCTCAGAACGATTTTCCTTGGGCTGTCGTTATACTGATAGAAATCACACCCGTGCATAAAGAGCAAGCTTAATTATACATAGCTAAATACCTAAGATGAGGTTTTACATTGTTCAGAGACTATATTTTGCCAGAGATGAGACACTCAGCGCTAACTGATCTCAAAAAAATAATGTAGGTTCAGAGCATGAGCATCTTATTGTGCGTATTATCCTTTTCTTTTTTTTAAACAAAGAAGACAGCAGTTTGTCTTTCCCTCTCCCTTTGGGAATTGTTTTCATTGCATGGGGATTCCATGGAGTCCTCTGGTCCCTGGCGTGACCAGAGGTCAGGTTTATCGAGGGTTTCAGATCCGGGGGTGGTGAAGCAACATTACCTGGTTCCCGCTGAGAATGGCATTGCTTTACCTTCTTAACTCATTTGTACTGAGCCCAATCACTTGAGCTCAAAATAATAAAAGTAGGGGCTGAGGATTTAGCTCAGCGGCATAAGCACCTGCCTTGCAAGCAGGCAGTCCTGAGTTCAATCCCTGGTACCGATAAAAAAATAACAGTAATAATAAAAGTAGCCAAAGTGACTTAGATTCTAAGCTCCATTTCTGCGCTAAATTCTATATGTGCATTATTTTATTTAATCCATACAATCGTATGAGATAACTTACCCCAAACGCCCGGTTAACCAGTGACAGATGGGGTTCAGAACCAGGCTTCTCTAGGAACTCCAGCTCCTCGTCCTTCCGACTTGGCTGCGAGGGAGCCTTGGAAGAGTTTCAGGGTGAAAACAAAAATGTGCCCCCAAACCCACAGTGCCCTCAGGTATGCGGCCTTCCTCTGCGGCTAAGTGACCTGTCTCAGTCGAGGTGGGGCACAGGATCTCGGGGTGCAGGCGTTCCAGCCAGGGAGGGAAATCTAAAAGGCAAAGATGTTCCAGCCGCCTTTTATTAGCTTGCTGGGGAGAGGAGAGGGGCGCAAAAGACCCCTTAAACACATTCCCAAAGGAGGCTGCTCAGGCTCTGTGCCTTCGGTCTGATTTTGGGCCTTTCTGCCTAGGTCCCGGGAGGGCCGGTTCTTCTTAGACCCGCTCTGTGCTGAGGGGTCTTCTCCAGAACTGAGCTTAGGGCGTGCTCACGCCTGTCCACACCCAGTGACAATCCCTCTGTCCTGAGTGTGTCTGGCGCAGCGGGCTGCGAAGATGATGTTAGGCCTCCGTGAAAGGATGTGAGGGTGACTCTCCTGCTCCGTGTAGCTCCCCAGTTCTCCCCTTATCTCGTTTCTGACGGAAGTTTTCAGGCAGAGATTCCTAAGTGAGAAAGACAGGAGGACTACTGATGGATTCTGCGAGAGGGTAAAGCAGCTCTGTCACCTGTATCCCAGGGCTTGGACATGGTGACAGGAGCTTCAGGAGGACCTCAGAGTGGCCCGTGGGTCCCCCCGTCTCTGGTCTTCTCTCACTCTATGATCGCCAGTAACACTTCCCTGACTTTGCGCATGGTTTGCTGCTAACAGACTGTATGTAGTCACCCACACACAACTTAAAATGAGCAGAGGCAGAGTCCTGGGGACGTCCTTACAGATAGCATCGGTGATGTTCATGAGTTAAGTATATCTTTCAGGCACAAGCTCTCTCCGTGAATAATTTTGTGGACTTCGAGTCCTGCACCCTCCTCCTGTGAGAGCTAGCTCTGCTCTGGATTATCTCTCGGTCTCATTGGCGCCCTGCAGGGTCCTGCAGGGAAGAGCAGAGTTCCCTGCGCTGCACTTGAGTATAATCGCCCTCAGACCAAGAGCTTCACCCCAAGGAGTCTTTACTGCAAAACTGTGACATAATGAACTCCCTTGAACACTAGTGGCAGGTAGCAGTTGAGCCAAAGGAAGAATTTATTAGGGCACGTTTAAATTTAAAGTATGTCATGCTAGCAAAAGCACGGAAGCTCCCGAGGGGCCAGCTGCGGCTGTGGTCAGCGATGCTCTTCCGCTCCTCCCACCCGCTTGTCTTGTGTCTTGCACTTTTCTGGGTCACTGTTAAGGCCACGCAGGGCACCTGCTCTGCCCTCGTAGCCTGCTCTGAAAACACTGCCCCATTTGGTCAGGTAACTCCCCTAGATCCCCTGGGAAGCGGTTTGCAAACACAGCAACCCAGAGCTGAGCAGCAGTGCTTTATTTTCATTTTCTTTTCTTTTTTTAAATTTTGTTTTAATGATAGCCGCTTGGAGCCAGTGACTATTTGGAACTGTCAAGGAATTTTGATACGCTATTTTTACGGAACATTCCACAATTTACGCTGGCAAAGAGGACCCAAGCTCGAAGATTCATAACTCTCATTGACAATCTTTATGATTTCAAGGTAAGGAGATAATACACTTTTTTCAAATTACACACCTTGGTCTTTGGAACCACATGGCCTGGGCTACAATCCTGTCTGCGTCACTTATTTCACCTCTGTGCCTCAGTTTCCTCATCTGTGAACTGGGAATGATAGCATTCAGAGGGTTGTTGTACACCACCAAGGCTGATCCACGTCCCGCATTTCAAACAACCTTTACGCCAGCAGGTGGCCGCTTTCAGCAGGAGCAGGAGCTGGTGATGTCGTCCACCGTCCCCCACAAACCCCTCTGCTGCGCTGTGTCGGCTCTATCAGAAGAGCAGGTGGCCCCGTAATACTGTACGTCACCCTGGCTGGCCCACACTCCAGCAAACGGGTGACCGAAAGGCTGCAGCGTCCACGCTGGCCCGTGACCCAGAAACCCCGCAGCGGGCTTGTGCTGCCTCTTAGTTCTCTTACCCACATGTTTCAGCCCTGGTTCCCGGCCACCGTCTGTCGGGAGGGCCGGGGTGTCTCCGTGGTGGCCGGCTGACTGTCCTGGAGGCTGGGTTAGTCTCCGTGAGCCTCAGTGGCCGTCTCTACAAGGAGAGAGAAACAGTACTTACTGTGTCAGGTGGTTGCGGATGACAGGAGGTGTAAGGCACTGAGAGTGTTACATGGTATAGAGTGAGCTCTCCATGAAGGGGTTACGGGCGTGTAAGTGTAGGCTGGCAGTAAAGATGTGTGTACAACTGTGAATAAGAATTAAACATTATTTCTACATTAGATACATTGTTTTCCTTCCCATTTCTTATACAGAATTAGGGCAGGAAATCTAAAAGTCTAGTGGGGAAGAGGTCAGTAACAGACTGCTAGCAAGAACAGATAAAATGTGAATGTTTCATTTACTCATTCAACAACCGTCATCATGCCAAGCCCAGTGCCAAGAGAGAATTCAGTGGAAGTGAAGTCAGATACAGTGCCTGTCGTAGACTGGTAACTGGTGGTCAACTTACACACCAGCCGAACTGCATCAGTGTGATCCTGAGCCCACGTGGATGGCCCACCCGAGGACTGCTGCCAGCATAAAGAGGAGACGTGGAGAGGAAGAGCAGCAATGTGGGTTCTTCTAAGTGTTGCTGTTGTTTGGAGCAGCTGGTTCTCCGGAGGAGCTTGTCATGCTGGTTCCCTGATATGAACTCGGCAGTTACCGTGTGAGGGGCTTGGGACCTTGTTGCTGAGAGGGGCCGCGGTTCCCTTGGGGGAGCTCTGGTCCTTACTTTGAGCATCGCTTCCTGCTCTGGAGGGGAAGACGTGTGCTGTTTAATCTCCAGGGGAAGCTTGTCATGCTGGCTTCTGGTATGAACTCAGCTGCTCTCATAGTTGGAGGAGCCTGGGACCTCACCGTCACTGAGGATGGCTTATGATACTTTTCAGGGGAACCTTGGTCCTTATTTTGAGCGCTGCTTTTTGGCTCCAGTACAAAACCCTCAGGCTGCTGGCATGGACCCTTCACCCAGCTGGCACAGGCTTTCTAGCTTCCACCGCTGACCTTCCCAGCGCAGATCCGTGGGATAGACCTGGATGGGTCACTGTCGTGGGCTCTGAGTCTTCAGCTGAACTCATGCAGCCATGGGGTCCAGGCCCTCGGCTGGACTTTTTAGGTCTTTGGTGTTGTGGACGGATTTCCCGCACCTTCTTTGTATTTGACTCCTTGAATGACTCTTACAAATAATACTATAAATTGTGTCCTATATGTAATTGTTCTTTTCGCAACCCCTGACTACACTAGTGCCTTTCTTCATGGAGCTTGTAGCCTAGACCAGAGCACACAGGAGTCCCACGTCCTCTGGGAAAGTCCAGTTACTACTGCCAAGTGACTTTTGGGACAGACGGAGGACTGTGGTGCTGGGAGAATCAAGGGATGGAACACAAATGTAGAGCTGGGCGCCCCAGTGAAGTCCCCTGAGGACCACTTGCATCAGAACCGTGGGGACACCTCAAATCTGGTTTCCAGAGGCCACCTCATCCTCACCGAAGCACAGCAAGACAGGCCTCTGGCCTGGAACCTGCATGTTCAGTGCGCCCTTATAACTCAGAAGTACAAGGGGGAACTTGGCACAGGTGGAGGGGTACCCAGGTGGAGGGGTGCCCAGGTGGAGGGGTACCCAGGTGGAGGGGTACCCAGCCTATAACAAAGCCCTGGAAGGGAGGGTCTGAGCATGACAGACAGAAAGTGCAGGCTGTGGTGCAGTGGCCTCGGAGTGACCACAGAATCTGCTGCTCATTCCCAGGGGGCCACACAGGTGTGCACACACACGTGACCAGGTAGGCAGGGGAAGTGGGGGCCGAGAGTCACCGGTGGGTAGTTAACGCTGATCACAGGGGGTCCTGAATGCAGGGTGCGACCCTGGAGGCGGCCCTGTGTTTACAGGATGAAGGCCTCAAGAAGAAGAAGGCGGAGTAGGTGGTTGGTTCTTAGTCTAGAGGATCAACAATCTCTTTTTCATGCATTTCAACTGGAAAAACTTGAACTCCTGTGGCCCCACCCTCAGTCCCAGCCCCTGATCCTACCACACCCCCACTCTTCTACTTTTTATATAAAAGGAGAGTCACCTGGCAGGATGATACAATGCCCAGGCCGCTCTCTTGACATTCGCTGAGACTAAGTCAACACTCAGAGATCCACTCTCCAGAACACAGTCCAAATGACCTCATCTCAAAAACCGAGAGCATTTAACAGACATTATTCTAGAACGTATTCACAGAAATTTATGAAATAATGGCATTTCTATCTAAATCATGAAAAAAGTATCATTTATGATTGAAAGAATTTATAAGAGGAGGCAGAGGACCTTTTGGGATATGGAAAAGTTAGTTCCAAATGTCAAGGGGTTGTTTCAGAATATCGATGTGTTTAAGAATGATTTTTAAAAGGATAATTGTGAATCCTGAAAACAAACCCAGGATATTTTAGACATCAAGAGGAATATGTTTTACATTTAAACTTCCAGATACATACCGTATAAAAGTCATAAGAGCTGTCTCCAGTATTTGGTCCACATGTGCCCTTCATTCAAATGCTTATGTAGCAAAGTGATGTTAGAGCGAAGGTCGATCTTCTTGAAGTGTGTCCTGGCAGGTTGCTGGCCTCCAGCTTGGGTCGAGGACTCGTGTACCAGCCTCGGCTGTCAGCTGCCCGGTGCAGTGGGAGCGACCCCTTCCCAGTGCACCTGGGGAGCAGCTTGATACACACTGAGACCTGCTCCAGGAGGCCAGGTGCAGATGTCACCAGCAGAGTATAGATGCTCTAGTCTGCTGGTGCTACCTCAATAAAATGCCATGGGCTGAGTGATTTACACCTAGGAGAGATTTATTTCTTCCAGGTCTGGAGGCTGGAGAGTCCAGGAGCAGGGCTCAAGCAGATCACTGCAGAGCCCTCATGATTCAGTCACATCATGATGGCCGCACCTCCTAATCCTGTTGCATTAGGACCGAGTTCCAACATGGATTTTGGAGAGAACACAGCGCTCAAATCGTAGCAATCATGGGACGAACACTGGACTTAGAATGGGAAAACGGGCTGATGGGGTAGGCTGAGGCCGCTGTGGGCCAGAAGTCTCCTAATCAAACTGTACTGAGCTGTGTGGTCATATTTGAAAAGGACTAGGCAGTCATAAAACATCACTTAAGTGTAAACTATTAGAAAAAATAACTTTCAAAGCAAAGACTCCAGCTCCCTGATGTGACAGGCTGCTTCCTTGTGTGAGGGGCTTTGCCGACTCCTGACTTGTGGGATGTGAAGAGTGACGCCCTTCACTGTTTCCTGATTTCAGGTGCGTGTAATTTGCTCTGCCTCGACTCCTCTGTCAAGCTTATTTTTGCATCAACATCATGACAGTGAGTTGGAGCAAAACAGGATTCTGATGGACGATTTGGGGCTGAGCCAGGTAGGCAGTATTAACACAATCGCTTTGTTATGAAACAGCTCGGCTGGTTTGGGTTTGATACCTGGCTACATTTTGAAGAAGGAATGCAGCGTGTAGTGAACTGTTGATCTGCTGCTTTCTTCTACAGCTCTGGAGCAAGCTTCCCATTCATAACAGCACTAAATTTAGACAGTCGCAACCGTAGAGTAAAAGACCTTAGTGACCACGTGGCCACAGTGAAGTCCAGAGAGGTGGCCAGAGCCCAGGGCCACACTGCTGGACAATAACGGGCAGGCTGGGCCCCAAGGCATTGTGCTTTGAGGCTCCTCCTGCTGCCTCTTCTGACGCCCTTCTCCACGATGCCTGGTTGTAACTCATGCACAGCGTCCAGGCGTGTGAGGTGACTGGTCTAGAGCCACGCGGGGTGCTCCGGCTGAAGATGAAATGCGTGCTTTGTTCTCTTGCAGACTTCACTTAGCACACATTCATGGAGCCCTGCTGATGCCCGGCTCTGGGGACACTCTTTAGGGAACAGACTGATGTTGGCCCCGCTCTGTGGACCTCAGAATCTAGAGTCACCTCAGGCCAAGGGGAAGCTGCTTCGCAGTCCTTTCTTCTGGAGAATATTACAGGGTATAGTTCTCAACTGTTTGCAAGTGAAATACTAGTCAACATGCACACTATCATTGCACACCCACGGATGAGAACAGCATCCTGCACCCCGGAGCTGAAGCCCCGGTTGAGGGAGATCTGTTCCTTCCTGACCTGAGTAGATATTACACATTCTCCGGAGTGTGGGGGAATAAAGCAAATAATTCTTCAGGAAGTGAACTTTCAAACTGTGGTTACTTACACCTCCTTCTTATCTTAGTCTGTTCAGGCTGCTCAAACAAAGTGCCATAAAGTGGGCAGCTTATGTGCAAGAGAAATTTTACTATTTGAAATGCAGGTTCTGCAAGAATAATACATCCGAACATTGTGTTTGACCATTCAAAAGAATACACTTGAGGTGCTACATTAAACCATTTTTTTTAAATCATAGGCCAGTGTGGCGAGCCTGCGGCACACTGCTGCAGCCAGCTGTTTGGTACCAAAAGCTCCAGAAGGTTCACCGTCACTGTCATAGGCTCTTAAGATTTTCCTCTAGATCTGGGTTGAGTCACAGACCAACTGAGCTCAGCTGTTAGGGTCAGTCATACAAGAGGAGATCAGGGAGATGTGTGTAAACTGCAGGTCTTGAAGGTCATAGTGAATCAGGGAAGGTAGACTAAGAGTCTAGAATTTTCTTCTCCTAAAAAAGTGTAACAGCAAACCACTATGAAAGAAACTTACTTCTCAGCAGTTTAAGATCGAGGTGCCTGATTTCAGAAAATTCAGAGTCCACTTAGTGGCCATGAGCTCATGTTGGTATCGCCATCCCAGCGTGTTTACCGGCCTCCTGGGGACCCCCTGGGGCTTTCATTCCCCCCCCCCACCCCAGTTTGGAAAAGGATCTTCTGAGGTTTGTCCTCAGGGGTCCCTCAGGCAGTGGGACCTGGCTGCGAAGCTTCTGAGGCCGGCTCTGCCCTCTGTAACCCAGTGGAGCTGCTGGTTCTGTCCTGGCTTATTTCTGGTGCACGTGCACGGGAGGAAAAGGAATTCCTTTCCTATCCGGGATATTCCCCGAGGTTTTGAAGAGAAGTTTAACTGTGAGCAAAACCTGTCATATTTGGGAGTTTGGGTACTGCATCCGCTTTAATTACTTTTCAGATGTTTTTCTTTTAGGTTTTATCCTTGGTAACTTGATCTGTTTATCATTATATAGGTTTAGATCAGTTGATGGATCTAGTCTAATTTAAGAGATTAAATATGAAAAATGTGGGGCTGAGGATTTAGCTCAGCGGCATAAGCACCTGCCTTGCAAGCAGGTGGTTGTGAGTTCGATCCCTGGTACCGATAAAAAAGAAAAAGACAAAAAGAAAAAAAAAATGTACAAAAAATTTTATAATCTAGATAGATAATCTAGGTAAAGCTAAAGTCTTTTCTAAGCATGAATGTAGACACCCACCCTTCCCTTGGGGGGCTGAGGTCGGTGCCATGTCTCTGTTGGTTTGCTTGCTGTTTCTGTAACCAGGACGCAGCGGCAGGACTGTCCATGTTTACCGGAGAGGAGGAGGCCTTCGCGTTCCAGCGCACCGTCTCCCGACTCACGGAAATGCAGACGGAGCAGTACTGGAAGGAAGGGGACAGGGGCAGGAAGTGACGGCCACCCTTCCGTGGGTGACACTGGACAGTGGCCGGTGCAGGCGGAAGTCTGTGCTGTGGGACGAAGGAGTCGTTTTCCCGTCATCAGTGATGCACTTTGTCCTCTGGACCACGCTCATCTCAGATCGCTGTCAAAGATGCTTCAGATTAGTAGGGTGAAGACATCGTTTTTATAGGTCTGTTTTTGCCTATTTATTTGGCCTTATTTCTGCACCACAAAATTTAAAAATCATCCCCCCTGAAAACGATCGTAGAGCTGGATAGTCGAGCTGTACGCCAAACCACCTGCATGAACCTTTGCTGCACGGATGATAAATGTGAGGCTGCTTGGCCTTTGCACCTTGGGTACACGTTTTTTAAAAAAATTCAAAACAAAGAGCTTTTTACTCTTATTGCAAACCAAAGGGAAAACCTTTTAAGACTGTTGGCATAAATGTATAGTTTTTGTTGCTCTGGCTATGAATTACACGTAATGGTTTCCTTAGGCTGGTGAAAATATGTTTTTAACCCTGAAATCAAGGCCAGCAGACACGACCCCACCTCCTGCAGTCCCAGAGTCGCCTGACACCTCAAGTTGGAGCAGGTGTGGAATTGCCACTGATGGGCAGATCTGCGGGCGGACCCCGATGTAGACCGCCAGGGGGCGGCAGAGCGTGCCTGCTGCTGCGCCTGCGCGTCGGAGGCCGGCCCTGCGGACAGGCACAGGCTGGCCCCTGCCTGGCTCGTCCTCCGCGATGCCGCTGACCACGCGGCTGCCCACGCGGCTGCCCACGCCGCTGCCGGCTCTGCACGGCCGGGCCTCGCGGAAACTAGGAACACGCGACTGATCTGCTTGAAATAAAATCTAATCTGTCCCTCTTTGTGATCACTCTTTTATTCTTTAAGTAAAACCTGACTTTGCTGTTATCACTAGAAAGGTTTTGGTTGAGGCAAGAGACTAGGAGAACCTTGTATCTCCGCTCAGAATAGAAAAACAAAAATGTGAAATGTTCAAGTCTGGTGACAGTCAAGGCGGCGGCAGACACAGGTGAGTCAGGCCTACAGTAACTGCACTCGCCAGCATAAGTGTGCTCTCCAGGTCTGTTCATTACCTAATAATCCTACACTTTTACCAAACTAAATCAGGCAGACTGAGGGCCCCGACATGGAGGAAGGCTTAAATCAGGGTTTCTGAAAACTAAATGTGGTCTCAAATTATTTTTATCGAGCTAATCCAAAGGGATTAAGTAAAAGGCGAGGGGAAAGAATTACTTTGCCAGATTCAACACGCGATTCTTCCGTAACTTCAGTCTTTAAATGAACGTAACTGTCCTTGATTAGGGATGAAGAAATGGAGGCACAACTTACAACTGCAAAACATGCTGTGTTTTGTACTAAACTGCCTCCTACCCTGGCTATAAAAAGGGATCATATTTAATGGTTTTTACATTTTATTTATTTTCACACTGGGAATAGAACGCACGACCTCGCCCTTGCCAAGCAGGCGCTGTGCCGCTGAGCTATATCCCCAGAATATTCCTTTTAAAAAACTGCAAAGGTGCACTTACAGCAGAGTTGTGTCTTTGAACTCAAATATATTATGTCTTTAAATCTTGGCTTTTCTTTTGTTAGAGTGCTGGGCCTCATGCATGCCAGGCAAGCACTGGGTATGCTGCCACTAAGCCACACTGTCCTCCCTGGATCTTAGCTTTTTGTGTTTTGGGTGTCTTTAGTAACCACCCTTTTTTGTGTGTGTGCTGGGGATCGAACTCACAACCTCAAGCTTGCCAGACAGGTGCTTATGCCCCTGAGCTATATCGCTGGCCCCAACTATCCTATGCGTTATTAAAAAGATGAGGGGATAGGCAGACAGGTGGACAGAGAAAGGAACTGCCCCTGAGTGCCTGAGTAGAACAGTGCGCCACTCAAGTTCCATTGTAGAAGTTTATTTCAAGTCAGGTATTTGGCAAAAAATTCATTTTTCATAGACATAACTATGTAACAGTTAATGCCCTGGTTAGATGCACAGGAGGCTGTGTGACACTCAGTGTAGCTACCCTATAACTTGGGCACTCAAAACTTAACCATCTTTTAAAACACTGTTTCTGTAGCATCACACTAGTGCAGGTCCACTCACATAACAGGAATGCTGGTCCACTGCTGTCCACCTCTTTCTCCTCCACCGCCCCCACTCGGGCTCCTTCCCTACCTCGCTGGGGCCGATGAGACGGGTCATAGTGGAAGAGACTTCCTGAGTAGGAGTGGGGTGTATGGGAGAGGGGGCTTGCAGGCTTTCACTGGGCCTGGCCTCGGTGTCAGGAGGGAACATTAGAGTTCCTTTGTGACTGAATATGATGCATTCTTATCGTCTCTTCTCCACAAAGTCTGTACCATGAGACAGCATGCCAGAAAATGAAATGAAAGTCTTAATCATTACCTGTTGGCAGGAAACAACATGGTAGCCTATCGACAAGGAAGTGTGGTGCATGGTGGTCACCATTTTCCAGACAGGAAACTGAGGCCCAGAAAATGGTAGAACAGAGTGGGTTAAGGTACCCATTGGAATCAATGAATTATAAAACCCAGTTTATTAAACTCTCCTTTTTAACAGCAGTCTTAGTCCACAGAACCTGAACCTACATTTTCAACCCTTCATCTGGGATAAAAATATGCCATGCATGCCTGACAGTTGGGCTGCTGGTCCGTTACCGGAATCTGTCTATCAGTGATCTTATAAATCATCTTGGTTAGATCCACTGATCTTGTTAGTGCAGTTGGAAGAAAAGAATTTTCTTTGGAAATGAGTTTACAGCTCTATCAAGGCAGAACTAAGATTATTTGTTGCCACATACATATAGCATTTTATGTGCAGGAACAGAAAATGAAAAATAATTTTAAAAATCTATCGTCTTTGTAAATGTGTGTTAATTCTGCCCTGCATCTCCCTAGAAACCTCATAGCTGTTAGCTTGGCAGGTCAGGAGACGCATCTGTCTGTTGACCTTTGGTCTGGTGGCGTGAAGCTCCAGCATGGCAGCTCTCTGTCCTCTTGCTTATTAGCGATCTTTCCGAGGTTGTTGGGGAAGCTTCCTGCCTCAGGACTGTATTTCCTGGCCCTCCCCTCCACTCTGCAGTTCACTGCCTGGTCTCTATGTTAAAAGGGATCATGATCTGGAATTGGAAGATTCCCTTTTGCTAATTATGATGTTGGGTCTGAACAAGATAGTGCTCTGAGTCTTAGTTTTCTCATAACTTGGAATCATAGTGTCCACTTCATAAAATAATTCTGAGAATAGCTGCAGACAGTAAAGGACTAAAAGAATATTAGAAGTTATTGCTTCCGATGGTTCTGATCATAAGTTAGCAATCACTACCTGCCCTCTGAGGGATGCGAAACCAAAGACTCAGAAAGGAAAAGATGCATAGTAAGTGGCTGCACACCGAGTGCACAAGACTCTGGCATACTGAGATGCTGGAGGAGGTCATTTAACTCAAATCCATTCTTTCAGGGTTCTTAATACAGAAAATGGACGTTACTCTCTGGGTGAACATGGATTTCTCAGAGAGTGGGCGCCATCCTGTGGACAGTGGGTGAACTGCCAGGAAAAGCCGGAGCTGGTCCATGCTGCCTGTTCCAGGGCTCAGAGCCGCCTCCAGAGAGCAGAGAGCCCAGGACAGAAATGGGGCCCAGGATGAGCACTCGCAGATGCCCTTCAGGGCAGTCTGTGGTCATCGGCGGGTGGCGCCGTGCCTGCAGCTGCACAGGCAGCAGGGACACCAGATGAGGCCTACAGCTGGGCTCCCCACCCGGAGCCCCTGACTCACACTTCCCAGTGGGCAGGCTGCAGCTGGGACACCGTGGGGCCTGGCACCCCGGTCACCAGCCCATAGCCCTTCTCCTCCCTGGAGACTTGAGCACATCTGCCTTTTCTGCCCCGCTTAGCCACAACCACACAGTAGGCTGGGCAGCCCCCCTTTGTTTAAGGGCACTTGCTTCTGTGCTTTAGATCACCCGCAGCAGTGTCCCGAGAGAGGAGCTGGGGTGTCCCCGTTGAATAGAAAAAGCAGGTGCCCAGCACCTCCAGTGGTCTCCAGGGTGGCACTCTGAGACACATTTATGGGCTTGTGGCCACTCAAGGCCAGGACAGAAAAGACGGAGTAAAGGGGAGCCACAGGGGGACCCTTCTTCCCACAGCACTTGTGTTGGTGAAGCCCTGCAGTCACAGAGACTGGAAAACACTGAGGTAGGTCTGGGAGAGGAGATATTATCACCACCAGCTTTTTGTTTGTTGTTTGTTGAGGAAACTGAGCATCAGAGAGGTGGGCTGACTGTGGGCCGCCCTGCAGTGGGCTCCCGGCTGCACTCGGAACCGCAGCGTATGGGGCATGGACAAAGCCTGGAAAGCCTCTTGGGGGAGAGAGAGCCAAACGCCATGAAATATCAATTTATAGGCCCGCGGGGGAAAGCAGCACTACTTTCCTTGGGCACACAAAGCCTAAATCGATTTAAAGAAGACAGGTTGGAGGGGAATAACAGCACACAGGAGTCAGGGCTGTGAGGAGGGGAGGAGGGGCAGAGTGGAGGGGAGGGCCAGCAGCGGCCAGCAATGGGCAGAGGGCATCCGCCTGTCCAAACTCAGGGTCGTGCTCAACATGGTTTACTGCCAGGCGCCCCTCAAATGAAAAGAAGGCTGGAACGGCCACATTACCAAAAGCAACATGCAGATTTAATGCAGTTCCCCTTAAATACCAACACTACTCTTCACCAAACTAGAAAAGGCGATCCTAACACCTATATGGAAACAGAAAAGACCCAGAACAGCCAAAGCAATCCTGAGCTAACAGAGTAACACAGAAGATACCACGACTAGATCTCTGGGTCCGAGAATCCTGGGAATGCTCGTCCTGTGGAAACAGTGTGGGTGCCGCACACAGAGGACACATGTACCACGGAACGGAAGAAACTACCACACACCTTCCGCCATCTGGTGTTTGACAAAGGAACCAAAAACGTATGCTGGAGGAAAGATAACCTCTGTAACAAATGGTGTAGCAGAACTAGCCACCCACATGCACAAGACTGACACTGGACCTGTATCTCTCACCCTGTGCTAAAATACAGTCGGAAGGGACAGAAGGCCTAGATAAAAAACAAAAACATTGAAACTGCTGCAAGCTAATACAGATGAAGCACCTGAAGCCATAGGCAAAGACTATCCGAGCGTAATTCCAGCAGCAAAAGAAACAGTGTCAAGAATCGGTGAGTGGATTAAGTGTAAAAACCTTCTGCAGAACAAAGGGAATATTCAGTAGACTGAAGGGACAACCTACACAATGGGAAAAATTTGCCGGGTACTTTTCTGATAGAGGATTATTATCCAGAATATATAAAGAACCCAAAAAAAATTAACCCCCAGAAAACAAATGACCCAATCAAAAAAAAAAAAAAAAAAAAAAAGAATGAGTTAAAAAAAAATTCTCAAAAGCAGAAGCACAAATGACCAATAAATACATGAAAAAATGTTCATGGTCTTTACTAGGGAAACGCAAATCAAAACAACTCACACCGATAATCCCAGCACTCAGGAGGCTGAGGCAGGAGTATTGCCCTGAGTTTGAGGCTAGCCTGGGCTACATAATGAGTTCAAGAGCAGCCTGTATTGTCAGTGAGATCCTATCTCAAGAAAACCAAAAAAAAAAAATAATAATAATGATTAAAAAATAATAATGATAAACGACAGAGTCCATCTTGACTCAGTCAGAATGGCTGTTATCAAGTACACAAAATAACAAGGGCTGGTGAGGATGAGGGGAGAAAAGCCTTCTGCATTGCTGGGGGGTGTAAACTAGTACAGCCTCTAAGGAAATCAGTAAAAGACT